ATGTAGCACAAAGTATGTGTCAGTACTTTGAAGGTAACAAGCATAAAGGATGGAATAAAACTAAACAAACATATAACTTAACAAAAAATAATGAGAAATAATATAATTTTTACATGATGAAGATACTAAAATATACTATATATGAACTATGTTGAATGCAATGAACAAGTATATAACTTGCTCAACGCTGCAATATATTGGAAACCTACTCAAATGCACTAGAATTTAATTGTGGGAGCTACAATTAAGCAACAATAAACTACGTGAGCCAAACGTGGAGTACAATATACGCCCTTTCGAGAGGACCCAATATACCTTGCTAGGGGTATAAAGGCATGACTATCATGATCAGCTGATTCCCACATAGGGGACTTATAAACTTACGGGAAACCGTAGTTCTAGGACTATGAGTATCAGAGACCTTAATCTTGTTGGGTGTTAAGCCTACTCCAAACTGGAAATATGTATAATACAACATAACTTAAATATAATGGATACCTTAATTTCTCAAATTCTAACTGAAAATGCAACATTAAAGTACTGATAATTAAACATTTGAAAACTGAGGTGTGTATATATGTCTATATGTCCTAGCTAGTGTAATTTGATATACTCAAATTACACCTCCCTAAAGAAGTATAAGAGTTGTATCAAGTAAAGAATCCAACTATTAGGTTGGGGTTGATCCCACAAGGAAAATGGTTTATACTTATCTTCAATGTACAATTACTTCTATTTAGTCAAGTTTTTTTTTAAAAAAGCAAGTTATTAAAGGAGGGGTTTTGTGAAACAAACTTCTTTAATATCTCTAAGTAAAACAAGTAACAGTAGTAAATATTTAGTATTTTTATCAAGTTGTGAGAGACACAAGGGTCTATGTGTTCCCGCAGGTTCATAACGCTGTATTCCTAGCTATAAAAATTCTTACCTAGTGTTTTTCATGCAAAGTGATAAGTTAGGTATCTCTAAATCCTTGGTACGACATTTCACTCCGTACCTTGGTCCGGCTACGTGTGTATAATCTACTAACTGTTACCTTTACTTCATATTAAGTATCATATTTGATGTATGACTTTGTTATTACTTCGCACCAATCGAGACTAGCCTATTAGATAGTATCCCATTAAATCTATGTTGATAATTCTTTTCTTATTACTACCTTTTTGGTTCGGCAAGTAGCATCAATGCTAGTTTTAGCGCGTGCACTCGTTAAAAAGACTTGTAAATGAAAGAATTATCAAGACATGCAATAACCTATTTGAGAATTGTTATGATGCTACGTTTACTTTGTTAATCACTCATGGTTCCCACAACCCTAGTTCTGGATTTAGTTACACATGCATATAACGACACAATTCATAGTTGTTAAACAATAAAACATGAACTTACTTTTAAAATTTGAAGAAAATCTAGAAAACTCACTTGAAATAACAAGATAACACTTGAAAACCAAATCCGGAAATTGAATTATTGCTAAACTTGCATAACGCGATTTCCAAACACAAACAAAGAACAATACCAGTAAGGTCCAACCCCAAAAAGGTGGCTGTAATCAACGACCCCCACAAACGGACCGTCAATGAAACGAAGGACTATTGACTTCCTCCGTAAGTCCAAACTTAGAATCATTTTTTGTCCTTCAGATGACATCATATCTGATTCAATCGACGGACAAACAACACGGTCCATCGATGCCTTTCATTGCTCCATCCGTAGAATTTCATCAACTTAGGTTACTGGACTATCTCTGATCTTGTTAACGATTCGAAAGAACGGTCCGTCAATCAATCGTCGGACCATCGATCCTCTTCGTAGTTCCACACTCTGTCAGCTTTTCCCGAGTTTCTCCGATTGCCTGAACTTCAATCGAAGGTAACCATCTAGGGACCGCCGATGGACTTCGTGGTCGCTTATGCACTTTATTTCATCTCCCTTCTGTGTTTTATTTTTAGACATCTTTCTTGCAAAACAAACATAAAATCATGTAAAACTACTACAAAAAAAGCTCTACACACACAACTCTAAAGGAAAAGCATTGGAAACACTGTGAAACAACGGTACATCATAATTCATTAACTAAACAGAATCTACACAACTAGGATTCTAAATTTCATGCGAGGAACCAAGAAATATGGTTAAGAAAAATATTATAATCTAAATGAGGGCACTACAATATCTTAATCATAACAATTCTCTAAAGACCACGAAAACCCTTGGTCTAAAAAATATGCAGGGATTTAAGAATGTAACTGAATCCTAGCGACCTAATGGGTGAAAGGAACCCACTAGTGAAATCTCACATACCCGCTGAAGAATTTCACGGGTAAATCGTTAGATTTTGGGGCTGGAACTAAAGAGAACTTGTTGCATTCATGGATGAGTTTTGGCGAATTGTTTCTTCTCCTTTTTTCTATGGGTTAGTCAATATTTGGAGAATAAATTGTTTAGGGTAATTTCTAATTTATTTACTAGGATTAAACTGACAAAAACGACATAGTTTAAGGATTAAACTATGTAGTTTAGGTCTCTAATGTATAGGGGAAAAGACTAAAACTACCCTAATTTAAAATTTGACGGGGCCAACGACGAGCCTGACCGATGGTCCATGGATGACCGACAGTTCATCCAGTAACTCCGTTATTAGGCTTAAGAAATTGAGGCTGAGGGACACGATCCACAAACCTGGACCAAGGTTCGTGGTCTACCGACGATTCGTAGGTCTGACCGTAGGTCATTCCCTTTTATGAGAATTATGGGCAGGTTGTAGGTGGACAATCACGGACCCCTCCTACGGTCCATGGGTCAACCTACAATCCATAGGTGGCCTCCTTCGGTGACACCTACAACTTTTGGAAATCTGCAATTTGATCGTTCTAGCATATTGGGTTTTACAAACTAATACAACAACAAAAGTATACTTTAAATTTATTGATTTAGGGGTTAATTTTATTTTTCATATGATTTGTATTTGTATATGTTAAAAGTTTTTACACGACTAGTAATTCAAGTTGTATTTCAACATGTTACATACACAAGTGAGATAAATATACAAACAAGTAATTATATGCAAATACTGATATTATATAAATACTTGCTGATAATATACAAATATATATATATATACACACACACACACATATAATTTAAAGAAATAATTTTTAAAAAACATACAAACGATAAATTCTAGACATCTAATATATATATATATAATTGATGCATAAATACAACCAAGTAATTGTGTATAATAGCTAAAAATATAAAAATAAAGTCTAAATTTTATAATCACAAAAATAATGAAATAAGAACTAACAAATAAGTATACAATTAATGCAAAAAGCAACAGAGCTGCAATACACACCGAATCAACTAATTTATAAAATTGTGTAGAATATAATATGAGATTTTATTAATACAAATGAAATCATCAAAATATACAAAGTATTATAAAAAGACATAAAAATGCATAAATTAAAACAATACAAATACTTCAATTTTTCAACATCGTCCATCAACCTAGAATCAACATCATTATCAAAATTTATTTATTATTCATTATTACTAGATGTAATTAAGTTTGTTTTCTTTTTTGAACTCATCAAATATTTCGACCCTTAGAACTTTGCTAATATTGATTTAGCTGTTAAAATTAAGACAGTAGACGAAAACTATTTGAATGAAAGAACAAAAATATACAAACAAAAATATAAAATAAATGAAACTCAATATATGTTACCTAAATAAGGAAAACATAATTAGGAAGGAAATAGACAACTCTGAAGCTTTAAAAACTGATATTTTTGAGTGAATTTTAGATTAAAATCATTGAGAAGTAAGAAGAGATATAATATATTATTTGTATAAGAAGGAAAACTGGCAAGAGAGAGGGCAATTACCGTTTGATACAATTTGAGTTCACGGGGCCTGTCGATTAATAACCGCCTGGATGAAACATTAGTGGCAAATTAAAAATATTTGCAACTATATCTATGTTAAGTAATTTATTACTAGATTTTTACTTAATTACGTATATTTCCCTCTGTTTACTATTCTAGGCATTTGTTAACATATGTGATAAGTTCTGGCCTTTTTCTATAACTAGCCAAAATCGTCGTCAATCAGAACTATGTTGTGCGAAATCTCAAAATTGTTAAAATATATTGTCAAATTAAAAAATTTTAAGCATATGAAGAAATTTAATTATATTAAATTGAATGGGCCACTGTCAACCCACTATAGTAGGAAAACTTCAACTGTGACTGTGGCAATTTATCTCTTACACAACATATATAGTGGAATGACGCGAAATTAAATCCTAGACATAGCACTCCGAAAGTCTATGATCTAGTCTAGAGCTTCACATGAAAAATGAATCCCTAAAACACTATTTCTATGAATAAATTAATGTATTGAAACTAATTAGGAAGTGTTAGAATTAAAACGTTAAGAAACGACCATGACGTACGGAGATTTGTAAATGATGAACTAGTGTCCTTGGTATGTTTCAAGGGGTTTTAAGAGTTTCAATTTAGTCAAATTTGGTAAAAAGGTGTTAAATATGTATTAGAGCATGTTTATGGTGGAAATGTCCGGGTACGACTCCCCAAGGACAAACCTAAGGGTCCTTGGAGAGGACCCTAACATTTGACACTAAAATTATCAGTTGACAGTGGCTATGGACAGAACCAATCGACGAGCCATGAATGGGTCGATGGCCTGTCGATGGTGGTTGTTTATAAACACTTATCCATTTTGTAAAATGTCTCCAAAAACTCACTCTATGAATCAAACAACGGAGTGCCAGTACGGGGTTGTTGATTGGTTTACGTATAGTAGACGGGCATTCATCGATTGTCACTCGAGTTCACTACCAAGTTTGTAGATAAATAGGTTAGTTGGTTAATTATTTAAGTGATTAATTAGGGGTTAAGGGGTGGTTAATTAAGTTAGTTAAGTTTATATAATTTACCCTAAGTCATAAACTAACTTAACACCTCATTATTCCCAAACCCAATTCTCTTTAACTTCTCTCTACTTTCTCTCTCTCTATTCTAAGACCCACCATTGAAGACCAAGCTTCAAGGTCCAGTAGGGATTAAAGACTAAATGTTTTATCCATCATTCTTTGAGTAATCTTAAGGTATGGAAGATATTCACTCTTGCGATCTCTTTCCGCAAGAGGCTCTTCAAAATTAGTTTCTAAAGATGTCAAAAACATGAGTTTTCATCTAATTTCGTGAATTGTCTTCCAAATTGATTAGATGTTGAATTCTTTTGGTTTTATATTGATATTATGATTGTATAATGGTTAATTGTTGTAGTTTTTAGTATTTGACGTGGTTCAATGAAAGAATTCACGATTGAACCGTTTTCTCTAACCCAAGGTTATGAATTGAGGTTGATTTGATTAGTGATGATGCATTTGAATTAGTTCTTGTGTAGATTCAATTTATGGATGAATATTTTTGGTTTGATGGTAAGATCTTAAAGGAGATTTTGGAGTCTATGTGGTAAGACCTTGATGATTTTAAGTTCTTTACATTAATGATGATGGTTATATCTTGATGATAATAGTTAAATTGAAGTATAATATGTGAATAGAATAGGAAGATGATGGTATGATGAATATGATGGCATGTTAATTAATATGTTTAATTGTGAGATCTTTAAAAGGGTATGATGATGCAAGGTTGTAGGTGATTCTCTTGTGTGCCTATTACTACGACGATGATGTGTTGATCTTACTAATGATGGTTTGTGTTGAAAGGAAGTTCTCATTCTATACCTAATAAGATAATGACATTATTATACAAGGGATTAGTCTCCTATGTACTATATTAAGATATGATGATGAAGAAAGGTTAAAAGACACTTCAAAAAGAGACTTTAGCTTAGCACTAAACTAGATATGAGAGGTGTCCCTTCCCAATGTGGGAAGGTAGGTTCACAATGATTCTCATGAGATGAGGACTCCAATGCTAATGGGCATGAACAGGGTTCAACAAATATCTCCTAGATCCTTAACTATGTTGCCCCCATAGGAAAACTAGCTTGTAAAACAACATTGAATGTTACGTTCATGTGTTTATTCTACCTTTGCAAGGGTGTCATGAAACCGAATTCCATGTTTAGATCACATGGTCTATTGTCAGTTAAGTCAATTGTTCCTCAAAATAAAATGAATGAATGAAAATAATAAAGTGAACACTAATTAGGGTGACTTAAGGGGTTGTACTTAGTGTAGGTAAGAGTATGAAACTTTACCTATGCATTGCACAAGTTGACCTTGAGGGGAGTCCTAGGAGGTTGTTCTTATGTACTTATGATATGAATGAAATGTATATTTTTACTTTACATGTTGATGATTCTATATGATGTTGGTTTCATTGATGTACATTATATTGATCTAAGTTGATATATATGATGATGAATATGCATGATATGAAGATATATGAAATGTAGACATTGGTTATGGTCTCTTTTATAGTTTACTTGATCATGTGTGGTAATGAGGCTTCACATGAGCATTGCAGTTGTATGCCTTAGATGAGATTGTGAATAAGACTCTTGTATGCTTTGATGTTATGAACTCTAGCACATGAATGATTGATATAATCTTATGAAGATGTTATTCATGTTGATACAAATTTATAATGATGTTGTCTTGTGTTGGATATGAACATGTCTCAATAATGTTATGCCTATAAACTTGTATATGCCCTTATATGTGCATAAAAGTCTTTCAAAGTGATTTAGCATGGTTTTGAACAAAAAGTCATTTTAGGCATTATTTTAATGGTTTTACTTGCATATGTTTCCATACATAGTACACGTGGTTTGTACTAACCCACATTCCTTCCCTTTTCCCCAGACAATGTAGGTTCGGGCAATTGAAGTATAGTAGGCCACTTTGAAAGAAGACTTTGACATATTTCCCAAGTTATTGGTAGGTCCTCAAGTCTAAGGATGTTGCCATTCTTCTATTCTAGCTCTAATGTAGCTTATGTCTAAAGACAAGTGTTCCTGCCTTTTTCATTTGAGACTATTATTGTAAGACTATATGTGGCATATTGTATTGAAGTAAGGGCTATGCCCAATATTGTTATTCTCTATTAGATGTTTGTATGTGAGACAATATTATTAGACTGTATCTTATGAAATGAATATATTTCCTAAGCGAGAAGTCTATGTAACTTGATAAGCGAAAATTCTATGTAAACTCTATATATGATATGTGAGAAGTCTAAGTATACTTCATTATGAACAAGTTCAATTTTTTCACATTTATAACCTATATGACATGTAATGATGAAATCTAAGGGCTAGTCTAAGTTCTCTTTGAGTACCAAGATGCCGATTACGTCTAGGGAGTGCTCGCTGGTCGTGACTCTAGTTATGCCGTGTTTTATTTTTTCCACCTTTAACAAGGAGAAAATCGATGAGGCTGCTCCAAAAATCCTTCTATGTCATCCAAGGAAAGGGTGTAATGAAGGGAAGAGATTTCAGTGGAAGAAAGGTGAAAACCCAAGGAATTCTGATTCTCATTCATCTCGATTTACTCTCACAGAGCCGGAAACTCACAGTCGAGGTTTACCAACAATTTTTTGGAACTCATGTAGGCTAGGTTTTCCTTAAACAAGTTGTTAGACTCGTTCTACGTACACTATATCTAGTAGATAGTCAGGGATTGCATGTATCACCCTTCATGCACACAATCTGGACAATTGATTAAGAGGATAGGGTGCTTGGTTGATAATGGATTTTAACTAATTATGGTTGTTTTACTTCATTGATGGGTGTAATCCCGGGAGGTGCAATTATGGAAGATTCAATCTTCTTAGAAATTATTCAGGTTGGAATCTTTCGGGTAGGGGATAGTTGTGCGTTTCCATGTATGTAAAATAGGCATGTCTACTACTTTGTAGTATTACTTGTACTATGAATGACATGAAACTAAGGACTAACGTGAAATGACCTATGTTGATAATATCATAAAATATATTTATTAGTTACTAATAGTTCAAGTGTGATTGTACATTGTGATTGTGGTTGTGTATGTAAAACGCTAGTAAAAGAGACTAATAGCTGGTTTTGATACCATACCTAGTATAACTTATTTTTGGTTGGCTGGTCTACCACTCCGGTACACTAACAATTTGTTTGTGGCTTTTATGAGAGAACCACGTTTACATGTTGGTTCTTGAGTGAACTGGGTTTACTTATTCATAATTTAATTAGTGCATGTTTGTCCATGAGAGGACCGTGTATGTGCATTTATGACCATATGGTACATGTTTCATGCATTGGTTAAGGTAAGAATTGTAATTTGTCATTTATATAAAGCTGTGACAGGTGGCATATATGTGTTGACCGATATTAATGGTATATAAGTTCATTATTTCATACATGTTTAAGTGGTGCATATCAAATTAGATTATAGACTGGGAGTTTAGTCTATGTATATATGGGATTGGAGTTGTCTATGTTGTGGTTATTAGGACAAGTTCATGGAATGAGTCGGGTATTTTGTTCAAGAAGGGAACTAGTTACGGTTAATAACTATTTAGAACATAAATGATAAAGGGAATATAAATTAAGGTTATTTAGTAAGAGTCTGGCATGTGGTTTACTAAAATGAGTCATGGTCCAGTGTATATTGGCATGGACATTCGAGGGAGAGTAGTTGGTTGGTTAGTAGAGGAAATAGTGTGTGGGTATTCACAAAACTCTCTATTTGGTAGAGATGTTAGGGTATGATATGATATGGAGTGGCATAACAAGTAGGCTTGGAAATTCTTAGAGTTGTATTATGGTGGATCTGTAAAAGTTAGAGTTGGGAGTAAGTGTATTGGTTTTAAAAAGTATTGTCATATTAAGTGAGGTAAATGGATGGTTTGGGTTTTTAGTTATATTTAAGTTTCATGTTTCCTGATCATTTGTATAATATTATGTGGTAGGTTCGGGTTGATCGATGTTGTATAACAGTATGTGTCATTTGTATTTATTGTATCTACTATAGTTATACCACTTGACATAGTCTGGTTGAAAAATTTAGTGATGTTTCATAGGTAAAAACAATGGTGAACTACAAAAACTTTTACTCTTCCTTCCTTATGGTGAGAGTTGTGTCATAATTTTTTGTCATACAATTTATCTTGTTATAGTAGCTCTTGTACATATTTAGACTAAATTATTGGGAAGTGTTAGTTGGTGTTTTTTGTAAATAGCCTCTAGTTTTTAATCAATTTATGATAATTTTGTAACAATATAGGAGTGTTAGAGTATGTTTTATTTATTTTCTACATGTCATGACTAATTTGTGACTGACTTGGAGACTGAGGGTTCTTATATATAGGTGTTAGAATAGGTTCCCCATGAACCGATGGGTTAGATTGTTACAATTTTTGTATTAGAACTTTAATACCCTATAACTTAAATATATTTGTTACTCGCAAAAACCAATGCATAGGGGATATATCGGGGAAATATAGTTAAAATATGGTAAACTATATCATGTAACAATTATATAAAGTCATTTTAAAGGCGAAACAAATTTTTTAGGCCAAAGAGATCATTAAAGAAGAGGTTCAAGTTGTTCTTTGTGAAGGGATACTTCAAATGATCTCATTTATCAGTTGACTTTGAACAAGCATGTCTCGTAATAGATAGGGAGTTAGAGAAACTACCAGCTACCTAATAAAAGGTATTTGAGTCTAGTTTATACAAATATAAATTGCTTGTTAATACGACTTTGAAGTAAAATATTATGAATATTCTACGGTAGACACACATACTTCCTAATCATTATGAAAAATGTGGCACTTTAAATAAAATCGGAAATGCTTGTTGTTTTTATATTAGGAGTTAGGGATTTCTTTTCCCATATACTCTTGAATGTGTAATGACGGATTTTAAGTTATTTCTTCAAGTGTTTCTCATCTTCAATCCTCCCAAGCTTAAGGTAAGTTGATTTCTTCAAGAATCAAGTGTCATTCTATCCATACACCTATAGATATACTTAGCCAAGTGTTTTCTTGAAGGAAAAAAGCTGCTTGTTCTTGGAGAATAAAAAAGACAGAGATTGCTCTTCTCGTTTGTAGAGGTATGAATTTCATTCTTTCTCCATAAATAGTATTTCATGATGGTTTAAGTATAATTTAGGGGTATGACTCACGGGACCATGATAGGAAGGTGTGAGTCCATATTTTACTCATTGTAGTTGATGTTGTTGGTGAGGGAGGAGTTTGCAGAAGAGCGTGTTGGCTATTGTTTTGACTAAATGAGGGGTGGATCGATGGTATTGTATTGGGGCAGTAACTAGATGCTTATCATAAAATGGAAGACCAGATATAAAAAAACCTGAATTTTATAGTTCTTGGAAGATTGTAGCTAGCCAAGTGTTTGATGAAATGTCTAAATTACTAAAGAGTATGTTTTAAATGTTTATTTGAGCTTCTTTTATTTTCATTGATGGCAGTAGTTCTCTACCAACTTTAGAAATTATCTTACAAGAGAATTTGATACCGTTAACAAATAACTCATGGTGTTTGGAAGCCATTAGTTCAACTTTATATATTAATTATAGAGGGGATTATTATTTATGTTAAAGGATTTGGAAGTAATGTTGAACTTGTAGACAATTTATAAGCCACCTTAGAAAGTAGAAAAAGAGAAGGGTGTGGCGATATGTCATTTATCTGTCGTAAATATTGAGCTTTACTCTCATAAACTACTATTGTGATTTCAATGATGTTGTGCCTCTTGATTAGCTTCTTCTAGTACCATTTTATGATGCTATGTTATAGTTAGAGTTGTTAGAAAATGATCTTGATGACACGACATAAGATAGTAAGTCTAAAACCTTTTCCATCACTATGGCAGGACTTGAAGTCACATGTTCTTTCTATAAATGTAATAAGACATTAAATGATACTAGAAATCCAGTTATTCCTTTTTTATAAACCCTCTCATGTTAGAGTCCTACAGATCAAGAGTAATAGTACACTTTTTTGTTCAAGGTAGTCATATCTTTCACATAACTATTGTAATGACCCAAGAGTACCCCTAGGCGTTACACGACATACTTTATGTAACGACCCGAGAGTTCCCCCTAGGAGTTAGGGCATTCGCGAATCGAAGCACGACATATTTGACCTTTCGGAGGTTTTGTCAAGCCCTTTCAGTAACATTCTTAGCATATACATATATGAAAATTTGTGCGGAATTTAAACTTTCACAACATTCGAATAGTCCTTCAAAATATCTTTCATATAAAATGCATAGGAAATACTAAATCTCATGTCATCAAATCTTACACTCAAAATACACTTGGGACATAACCCATACAATCGACAATATAGTACTGCTAAGTCTATTACAATACTTTAATCAAAGAAATCAAAGACATATATGCCCTCTAGTCAAATGAGGACATACTTTGAACTTTCTTGATAGCTCCTATAATCAAATATTCTCTCCCAAAACCACCTTCACCTATGAATAACTTTAGAGATAGATAAAAGTATGGAATTAGTATGAACACATGTACTAAGTATGACATATGCATAAAAATCATGATAACGGACACTTAATGGAAATATGCTCTTTTTGATTAAAAAATCATAGTATAAGCATAAGAACAACATTTAGCACCTTAGAAATACATAAGATAAGACTTAAACATTTTATCATATTTTAAGGAAAATTACAGTGAACTAAGTCCAATGTTACAGTGAAGTTCTTCAACTTCACACTGAACCCTTTTTAACATGTAACCCTCTCACTAAAAGTTATCGTAAGACTCACTTAAGTAAGACAAAGATTGACCGCCATTCACCCTCTCTAAGCACACTTAATTGATCCTCAAGACTATCTATAATAAGATAAATATACATACAATATACCAAAACACATAACATGAGATTCTCCTACCAAAAGTGATTCTAAGGCTCACTTGAGTGAGTTGTGAAGTTACCGCCCATACAATTCATTCACACATACTTAAGAGATCCTTTAGACTACCTAGAATAAGATCATTCCCATTTAATTAATTAATATCCTATCTGGAGTCATTCTTAAGACTTCCCTAGGTAAGATATGGAGAGACCATCGTTTATGCCCCTTTCACACTTTAACTAGGCAATTCTTAAAGTTACTCTAGGCTTGGTACTTATTCATTTATATACTTTCTTAGTTAAGTCATTATCTTTATTAGTTTATTAAAGAGACCTTCATCACATAAGGACATTCAAGTAATGGTCTTGGAGAAGACCTAGGGACTCACTCACTAACATCTTCAAAGCCTATTGTAGAATGTCTAGATAACGTCTCATTCCACCACCTAAACTTCATAAAACTTCTCCAATACTAGTAAGTATCCCATATGGTGATAATAGCTAATAACTCACATAGTCCATGGTATCTAAGCATGGAATCCAGAGTTGTAATCTACTCCGATGGAGGGTGTTCTACTTGCCAATGGTAGAAACTGAATACATCCCATATAGGCACATGGTTAAGGAATATGAAGGGTTTATTTGCACTCTAGACTCATTGTTAACTAGAGCTACTTCTCTTACATACTCACTCGGTGCTAGCCTTGTTATCATAGAGTAATTCACATGAAGGATTACATGAAAATGTACCATATTTAGTTCATAACCCAATCACATTCACCCTACCGAATAGGTCCCCAAGGGCTGCCTTTTTTGATGGCAAAGAGGACAACTTAATGAAATTCCTAATGATAATTTCATGCCGTTCCATCCAACAAACCTTAAGTCAACCATTCACACAAGAAGGATACTACCATTACGACTTTCAAATTTAAGGATATCATAACCTCTCAATTAGGTTTAGGGTTCCACATAATTTGACTTTCTCACTAAGTTCAAGACCACATGTCATTCATAAATACAAAACTAAGAGGCTTTAGCATACTAAGTCAAGAATCTCACATTCACAATGTACATGTATCAAGTAAGGGACACAAGTCTACCAAGACAAGACACAAACATTTTCCACATAAAGCATATTATTATAGAAGCACATATGAATAACCAACATCATCTTTAGATTAACCTATTAACTACTAGAATATAATAAATAAAACCCTCATAATACTATTATAACCAAGTAGGAAGAAATTATGCATCAACTCTAAGACTACACACCTACGGATATAGTTATAGTCTAACATTATCAACCAACAACATCAATATAAGAACACATATATTCACCTTAATCACAAGTAGATGGATATGATCAGAATTCACATATGTCAACTAAACAAACCATCATAATATATCAAGTAGTTGCCGACAAGGCCACGATTATACTAATACATAAAGTAACGACGACGAGGCCAAATCATTCACAAGTAAAGCACATAACACTGCCACCATAAATGGTCCATACCAATCATAACATAATTCTAGACCTAAATTACATAATATAAAGAGAACTAGGGCAGCGTACCACTAATTCATTCTCACCACTTCAATCCATAGCTAAATCATCCAATACAATACCAAAAGACCTTTACCCATTGTCATGATTATCAATTCAATAAAAAAATCATAATACTAAATGAATGTAAATAAATTGAATATAGATTTATCAATCTAAGACAACCTATAAATTAATCCAATACAATTGTTACATTATTCAATAGCTCAAAGAAAACTATACTAGAATTCATAAGCATTGTGACATGATCACAACATCTATAATATAGCATATTTGAAGAGATTATGTTTTTGCATGGTTTTATGAAGATTTTAGATAAAATGTTCAAATTAACATAAGTTTAATCGATAAACAATGATTCAAAATGTTTTATGCAATAACCCATGGCTAGATCATTAAATTGGACAAGTTCTTATTTGAAAAACATTGAAATCTCTTTGAATTTTGGGATACTTTATGAAGAGAGTTTCAAGGATGAAAAAATATAAATTAATATATCATATGAAACCGCGAAATTGATGGAGAAAATTTGAGAAAACAGTCTTCTTCATTGGAGATTCAAAGCTTCAACAAGTGAGTTTTGGAGAGAAGAATGGAGAGGTTTTATTTTGAATTGAGAGTTTTGCTTGGATTGGTGACTTTAGGGGTACAAAAAGAACTCAATAACCGTCAATAAGTCATCACTAAATTACTCTAAAGACGCCTTCACTTATAAGACATTTTAACCAACTAAAATTTAACTTAAAAATGACGCGACCAAATCTTGGAGTTTTCTACGCGCCGCGGAGGCATTTTCAAATTTTTTTTCTAGAAAATTTTGAGATACAATGGTTCGTGAAACCCCCGCTGGTCCCCTCAGCGTTGTTCTCTAACATTTCAAACCTTTACATGTAAGGCTACGCGTAGGAACCAACAATACTCAATTTCACCCTCAAACCATCTCCCAAAACTTCACTACAGAACACTATGACACACTAGTTCAACTCTGACTGGTTTTTGAACATCTTGGATGTTTGACCTCAAAACTTTGTGAAACTTAACACACAGTCTTAAACACTATTATAACTCATATAAGGACCTAATAAGCTCATAAAACACACACACTTAAGCACATAAGAACACAAGAGGCATATAGGCGACTAGTCGTCGACGTCTTGATCGTCCCTTGACGTTTGACTTCCAATTCACCTAATACTTTAGTCACTGCCTCATAAACACATTATAAACCATTTTAGGACCTTTTAACCTCATTAAAAACATGTTAGTCTCTAGCTTCACCTAAGTCGTTTTAGGGATATTACAGTCTACCTTTCGGAAGGTCTTGTTCAAGACTCTTAGGTTTCATTCATAATATTGGTATTATAAGTAGTGCGGGATAAAAACTTTCACAAAAATAAATAACAAAACACTTTCATAAAATGTAAGAAACAAATTCTCATCATCATAAGCTATCTTAGACACATCTTATTATCATAGGGTCATGACTGTTGCATATAAAAGAAACTTATAGTCACATACATGTTTTTAATTGAAAGAAAACTAGCATAGTCCGTGTCCTCGAATATATGAGGACAATTCAATCTTGAGAGAACTCTACTTCCCAAGATTTAACTTATAGAAATCCTCACTTCCTTTCACCTATACTTTTAGAAATATAGAAAAATATAGATTTAGAACAAATGATCTACTAAATATGGCAATATGCAATTACTTTAAAAAAGATATTTTTTGAAATATGCTTTTCATGCTATTTTGATAAAACCTCATGAATCAAGTGTACAAGACATGATATAAGTCATCACTAACATACAATGTATACTTTCATAATTCTCAACATATATTTATTTTCATCAATAAAACAATTACTCATTTATACCCTCATATCCAAAGTTATCCTAAGACTGACCTGCATAAGACAAGAAGAGACCGCCTATAAAACCTCTTCAATAAACACCTAGATGATACTTAAGACTACCAAAGACAAGGATGATGTAATACTCCAAAAGTCCAAGACGTGTTCTAGAGACTAACATCGGTATCAAAACGTTTTGACACTGTTTTAAGGTCAATTTTAATGAATATAGGTCATTTAGGAAGTTTATGAATCAAAACGTCAAGGCACGTCCATGACATCCAGAAACTAGTTCAATGAGGTGCTAGCGTGCCTTAGAATATTTGACTATGTTTTAAGATTCGTAAATTGATGAATTTTGGTGGAAGGGTTTAACACGTATTAGAGTCGATTCATCGTAGAAGAGTCTGAGTACGACTCTCCAAGTATCAATCAAGGTCCCTTGAGGAGAACTTTTATGTTTGGGTCGAAGGCTGCTTGAGGCAGTGCCCACAAATGGTTTCCTTCAACGACGATCTAATTGACGGTGCGTCGATTGGATCAATCAATGGAAACTTTGAATCTTGGAAGAATAAGGATTTTGTAAAGTCTTTGAATTAAATGACGGACCAACAGGATGGTTGGTCCCTTGGTCCGTCGATGAACAAACAGGGCGTAGGCGGGGTCTTGTTGGTGAGTGAACTGTTTTTTTGCTCGTTTTATCTTAGGTTGGGTTAAATAAATAGGTGGTTAGTTAATTTTTAGGGGTTTATACAAGCCTAATTAAGTGGATTAATGACCTTTATAAAGACCCTAAGCTAATTAAACTAACCTAAGCCCTCGTAATACCCAAACCCAAATTGTCCTCCTTCTCTCTTATCTCTCTTTCAAGTTGAAGAACACAATAGAACACAAGGTTAAGGTGGGTTATAGGGATGAAATCACAAAAGTTTTTCCATCAATATTCATCAATGATTAAGGTATGGCATTCCTTTTACCTTTAGGACTTCTTTCCCCGAAGGGTTCCTTCAAATTGATTTGAAATGATGAGTTCTCATGTAGGTCTTTTCCAATCTCGAAATTGATCTTTGGATTGTATTGATTAAATTATGATGAATTATGACTATATTACACTACTCATTTATGTGTTGGTATAGATTATAGGAGATTACCTTTTTCCCCTTAACCGTAGGTTGTGATCTTGATGTAAATTGTGTAGAATTGGTTGTATTAATTTTTTTATTGGTTGAGTTACAATCCTATGATGTTATTGTATCAATTATGAATAGATTAAAATTAATTGTAGTCCTATCATGCTAGTTATTGAGTAATTGATCTAGGTTGTGAAGTAGATTAAGAATTTGACCTACGTCTTTTATCTTAAGCTATGAACTAGTGCATGTTGGTTATTTTTGTGTGATGATATTACACCCATGATTGGTTGTAGTTAAGGGTTGGTGGTAAGACCTTGATGATGGATTATGAGGGAGACTTGGTAAGTCTTGTAATCTGAACTATTTACTTTAAATATGGGTAATTGTGATTAAGTGATGATGTTTTATTGAAGTATACCTTATATTAAGATTTATAGGATTGGTATGATGTTTAATTGAAATGTCTTAATTTATGAATTGTGAGATCATAATTAAGCTTTTAATGATAAAGGATGATGTTGATTCATTTATGTGCATTACTATGATATGTTGAAAAGTATTGATCTCACTAACATGAATGTATTGAAAGGTGATTCTCATACAATTCCTAATGACCTAATTCTGATAATATACAAGGGGTTAGTCTCCTATGACCTAAAACTAAGTTATTTCAAAAAGGGACTTAGCTTAGCACCGAGTGAACTTGACTATGATAAGTGTTAATTTTCCATAGAGGAAGATTAACCCTATAGTTCCACATGAGGTGTTGACTCCCTTATGAGGGATACACATCCTACGGGTTCCCACGAGATGAGGCTCCAAATGCCATGTGGCATGTTGATAGTTCATACCTATCTCTTAGTTCTTGAACTATGTTTCCCCCATAGGAAGACTAGCCAGTGGATCCACCTAGAAAGCTACATTTATGTTTGGTTTTACTTTCCGGTAGACCACCTTCTATCTATATAAGGTTTTATAACGCCAGATTCCACACTTAGCTTTTGTGGTATATGTCAGTTAAAACAAATGTTCCATAAACTAAAAGGAAGTACAAACCAACTACGGTCAATTAAGAGGGTTGACGTAGCTTAGGTAGGGGTATGGAGCTCTACCTATGCCTTGCACTAGTTTTCCTTGAAAGAAGCTTTAAAAGGTTGTTATTATATATGAATATGTTTATAAGGGTACATGGTATGTATATGATGATCTTGCACATTGATGATAGTACATAATAATTTGTTTCACTTCTGAACATGTTTTGATCTCCATTGCTAAATTATGATGATATGTACTCTTAATGATATACCATGTGAAGTTGGACATTCACTATAGGTCTTGTTGAGTTTACTTGATTGAGTAAGGTTATGGGGCTTTGCTTAGTCATTGCACTTGTTGACTTAATGAGGTTTCACACATAATTGTCTTTCTTTGGTTATGTTGTAATGAACTCTTCTTATTCATGCTTGTTGATATTATAACTTGATGATAGAGTTCCCTTGAGTATGTCTTCAATTATGTGAAATGCATGTTAACTTGACTAGACTTAGTATTGTTTGTCTTGTGATGCATATGTTTTTGACTTAATGATATGTCTTATTAATTGGTATGGTCTTCTTGAATGTTCATAAGGCTTTTCAAAGTAAATTGCATACTTTAATAAATTGTCCCTTTTAAGCATGATTTCATGATATGTGTGCATATGGTCTCATACTTAGTACAAGTGGTGTACTGACCCCATTTTCTCCCTTTCCCCCAACATTTTAGGTTCCGATCGTTGATGGGCTTTTAAGATGACTTTGAAGGAAGGCTTGAAATTCTCATTCATCCAAGTTGGGTAGGTCCTCACTTTCCGAGGGCAATGCCGCTATGAAACTTATGATGTTGTTCTAGTTTAAAGACTTCTATGTTCTTTCTTTTCATTTGAGTACTAAATATTGTATAGCCTATATGTGGCTTTGTTACATTGATGTATGGGATATTCCCAATTGATACACTCTTATTTCTTATGGTTATGAGATGAGACATCTAGCATAAAAATGTCTTATATCATATATATCTATGTGCAATAAAAGTAGAAGACTACGTAATCTTCCTATGCGAAGGGCTTATGTATACTCGATATGAACATTATGTGTATATAGAGGTCTATGTAAACCTCAATGTAGAAGTAATAAAAAGTTATTGAAATTTCGGAATTTTTTGACCTATGAATGTAATGATGTAAGATAAGAGGCTAGTTTTCTTCAAAGAGGACGACGACGCCGGTTACATCTAGGTGGTGCTCCGCGGATGTTATAGAGACTTCATCTCATTTCAATAAGTCAACATTTTATTACTATAGTAACATTCATGCATTTAAGAACTTCATATAAAGACCAACCTCTAAGACAACCCCTAAGATACACTACGGCAATGTGAAAGTAACATCTCATACTACTACTTCCACTTAGTTCTGCTTAACAATCACTATAGACTAGGCACATCACACTCAGTCATTTACATAGACTTAATCAACATTAGAAATATGATCAATATAGTTCATTAAAATTAAACATATATTCAATATTCTTCATTAATCATAATATAGTAACTTGTCATTTCATTTTCTTTACAGGGACACACCAAGACTCCCTCCAAATGTCTACTTGTGCAATGCATAGATGTTTCCCATTCCACCACCTACCTTAAGGAGTACACCCTTAGGAAGGCCTAGTTCATTACATTCATTTGTGGGGGATAGCATTAACCGACATAGACCATGAGCACTTCACATGGAATCTAGTAATAACCCCTACCGGATGAGGGATCCAACTTGTCTAAGGTAGGGTCATTTTTTTAGCCTCTACATGGATATCCTATATCTAGACCTATGCGGGCGCATAGTTAAGGGATAAGGAGACTGCTTCTAAATACTACATCCCACCTCACAAAGAGTACTCATGTCAAGAGCTACATTGTATACAACATCCCTACTCACGAATAATATCCACCCCTCTGTCAAATCCTCTCGGTGCTAGTTTTAAATCACCAAAGTGTTCTATATATTCATTAGCTATAGGTTAAGAGATTGCTTCCAAGTACTACATCACAACCTATAATTTATTCATTGGAAAACTCTCAGGAATAGTGAAGTTTCTACGAGACAGTACATCTCTAGTCACGAAGAAAGTCCACCCTTAAATCCCCTTTTTCATTCATTAGAGTTATATTGAGAAATGATTCAATAGACTTTCATTATTTACATTTTCAGTAGCTTCATTCGCTTATTTATTTTGTGTGTGCGTATTGCGTATACGTGCGAAAACATTTTAGATAAACACCATCATTCATTACATTGTCTTCTAAGCATGATTATACTACATTAATCATAGTCCACACACAATCATACTTCATATTCACGTCATACTTTAAGTAGTCATAGTATCTTCAAGACAGTCATTCATAACTTCATAAGATATCTCTATACATATACTTCATAACATCATTTTACTTCACTTTCAACGTCTTCAAGTCCATAATAAGAATTCACATATACATCAAGTAAACACCGCCACCATAAGTGGACCATACCATAAAATATCAATTCAAGAAGACTAGAACAATTGAAATCAACATACCATTCATCCAAGCCTTCATCAACATTATTCAATTCTCCCAACAATTCATCAAAATTAGGAATAATTGGCAGTAGATAATCATAATATAACATAGTATAAACACAATTCTAGCAATATCCAATCACATTCTCCAAACCCACTTCACATGCTAAAATTAGATATTTAGGATGTCCACGGGACCATGGAGTTTTTTTTAGAATAAATTCATCAACTAATACTGAAAACATCATAATTCCTCCATTAAAACCTTTTGATTCAAGGACCCATTCTTAGAATTCGAAATAGGAGAATCTAAGCTTTTTGAAACCTTTTGAAAAAGACTGTGGATTGGATACTTGAATGAGAGAAGAATAAAAGATGAAATAATCGTACCTTATTGGTATAAAGACCACGAAATGAGGGTTGAAACTTGGAGAATTTAACCTTCTTCCTTGGAGCTTCAAAGCTTCAGCAATGGAATTTTTTGGAGAAAGAGAATTGGAGACCTTTTGTTTTGATTTTGATTGGTGAATTGGGATTAAACGAGACTCACAAAACTTTATAATAAACTCCCAAAGTAACCAAAACACCCCTATACTACTTAGACCTTTTTAACCAAGTGTAATTTGACTTTAAAATAATGCGGTCAAATCTGGGACATGACTGCGCGTCGCAAGGACACCTTAAAATCTTGGTTCTGGAATTAATTTTAACGAAGAATGGTTCATTAAAAATTCACATCTAAAGACAAAATATTTCTCTTTAAGTGTTGGATGTGTGACGCGCAGGCAACTTCAATAATAGGCTATCTGATTGCTGCCTTGGCAGCTTTCTTGCCACACCTAGGGTCCTCCTCAAGGACCCTTTGGTTGGTCCTTGGAGTCGTTCCCAAAATATTTGATCCTTAAAATTTAGCTCTGGGTTTTAGGGTCATCCTTGGTGAATTTATACTCTAAAGAACACCTAAAAACATGCATAACAAAAAAGGACATATTAGCACGCCAAAATACTAGTTGTAAGACCCCAAAAAAGAATTAAGGTTATTTGAGCCTCTTGTGTTCCTAAAAGGTTTAAAGTATGTTGAATAAGTTTTTTATACTATATATACTTGAGTTGAAGTGATTTGGAAGTCAAACGTCAAGGGACGATCAAGACGTTCGCGGACTAGTCACTTAAGGGCCTTAGGTGTTTTTATGTGCTTATGTGTGTGTCATGGGCTCATGATGTCCTTATATGAGTTATAATGATGATAATATGCAGTGATTTAATTTATATGAAGTTTGGAGGTCAAACGTTCAAGAACATCAAAGAAGTTCGAAAGTTAGCCTTTTAGATGTACTAGTGTGTTCTTGTATGTTGGACTTGTTTTCATGTTCTTATTGGAGTTTAAAGTCAGTGTAGTTGAACCTAGTACCTAAATATACATGTTAAGTGTTAAAACGTTCGAGTAAGACTCTCGGAGGACCACCCGAAGGGCACCAATGGAGGATGCAAACATTGGAATAGAGTCTACCAAAAGCAGCGAGCATGTCCAAGAATTGGACCTTGCTATCGCGACACGCACCTAAAACGCACTTAACCTACTCAAATTTTATTTGGGACAGAATGGGGAGGCTTCTCCGTAGCAGCCTACTCCCAGATCATGTAGCGTCATTCTTAAGTCAATTTTGACATGTCTAAAAGTTCCAATAATCATGGGAGTATTTTTGTAACTTAAAGGGACGGTTATAAACTGATTTTATGACTTATTGAACCCCTTTTCCAAGCCGAAACCCCAACAGCCAAAAAGAAAATCAAAAATCCCAAATCACTCTTCTTCTCCAAATTTCTCAAACCTCCGTTAGAGGGAAACTCAAGTTCAAGTTATGGGGTAGTTTTTCATGGTTTCTTCTCAAATTTCTCATGGGTATTAAATAAATAAGGTATGTTTATCCTTCATCTGTCACGACCTGAATTAAGAACCCAAACGAGACCGGCGTCGTTGACCTCTCAAAGGTCGGAGATTAACCTACATATGTCGTCGTTACTTTATCTAGGTTAATTTTTGCGAAAAATTTGAACTTTTATTTACTTAAAATTTATATTGGATCATACTCCACTAGCTCATGCCTATGTCTAATCTAGAATAAATCAATAAGCATCCTCGAAAGCATGAGGTCCTACCAAATCCGTATGAAAGCTCCACGTACAGATAATTTCTGCGTCAACTCGTAAGCTCTAATGTAAAGTTGCACTTGCACCTAAAAGTACATATATGTATGGAATTAGTACACACTTGTACTAAGTATGGGAATATGCTATCACACACCATAGACATGCAGAATAGCTCTCTCATAACTGTATGAGTTATGGAAAGTCAAGTCAGTGAACTTGCAAAAATAGGATTAGGAAAGTCATGCCATGAGAGTAACATGCATCATTATACATACATATTGCACACAACACAAAACATATTTCATATAGCACATAACATATTGCAGATAGCACATATCATAATTTCATTTAATTCATTCATATGCCATGAGACCCTGGAACCATGGACATAGCATTAGGACTTTCCAAAACCAGTGCTCAACATATGCGACTTCAACTAGGGAGCCTTCTTTAGCTAACACAGGATCTGCTTCATTCATTCATACGTACTTCATTTCATTTAATTCATAGGGTAGTGTAAAAACCAGCTATACCTCGGATGTATTTTAAGACTCTCATTGGGTTAACTGTGTAATGATTATTAATAACGTAGTGTCATTACATAACTCTAGCTCAGCTCTTGATTATTCTACCGAAACACCTTTGGTATCGTTCATTTCATTGTGTGCATTACATAAGGTTGGCCTCATTATTTCTTTGGAAAATTTAATTATCATGAAATCCAGTGTCTACCCCACACCGAAAAAGGTGGAATCACCGGCCAAAGTGAAACCAAAACATGCTAGCATATATAGGGAGTTGAACCCTACTAGATGTATATGTTAGCTGCATAGGTCCAAAGACTAGGAGATATAAGGAGACCCATACCTGTATTGATGGGCAATATCATCTCATGAGAATTACACGAACCTCTGCCTTCCCGAAAGAAGGAATCACCACTCATAGTTATCCTATCGGTGCTCAGTATAAAGTTCCATTACATTCATCTCATACATCATAGAAGATGGATTCTAGAATGAGGACATCATATCTCATTAGATGATTTCTCATCTCATGATTAGCATTAAGTATATATTAACTTCAATACTTTCATTAGAGCGTTCATAGAGACTGGTCTCTTTATTAACTTTACACTCTCATCGATGAGTATGTTTTGATAGTTTTTACTTGGGCTCATTTGATATTGCTCTCCTATTTCACATTAGCCTCTTATCATATTGTCACCACATTCATTAGCCTTAGCACATTTGCCCTTCATAATTACTCACCTTTTTCTACGCGAATGTTCATTTCATCATATGCCAATGCACTTGGTCTTTTAGTGTGTTTCACACTCT